CAACATCGAGACAGGATGGTGAGTATCTAATCTTTTTTGAAAATGTAATTCGTTTTTTATGTTAGTAACAACTTAACCTAATTGTCTAATGTAGGCACAAGTAATGGGTCGTGAGCCTACTGCTACTGAGGTGTTTGAGCACACTCACTGCACGAACCGGAAGTTCGATCAAGGTTCGTCTGAACCGCCTACCGATCCTCCTCAGTTCAGTTACCCGAAAGCTGCTAGGTATTATGTAAGTTTTCTAAAACCATTACTTTGGTTAATAGATACGTTTGGTAGGTTTAAGATAATATATTTCAATAAACATAGTGATGCTATTAGTTTGGGCTGCCATTGTTGGACAGACGTTAGGCTAAGTAAGTAGGTTGAGAATGCGACTTCGAACATTGGTATTATTGGAATGCTTAGTTGTTAAATACATGCATTGGTTATGTTTGATTTACAGTCGTTATGCTGCTGAAATATTTACATACATAACCTCACCCGTTTTTGTTTTGGTGAACCATAGGAGCGATTTCAATCGCTTAGGGGTGAGTTACAATCTAGTACCGACAGCCCTCTCCCTGATGAGGCATCTCTTTGGGAGCAAAGTGTCGGAGGACGAAGGAAAGGCCGAATATATGGTTTTGGGACCACCCAGGACCCCTCTTATGCTATGACGGGTAGATGTAGCAGTAGCGGGTCATCATACGAGTCAAGAGCGGAGGKACGTTGGTTATATTGTTATAAACTTTCTCTTTACTAAAATTGCGAACAAATTACTGATTTCGAAGAATATTGAATATTTACAGGTAACGGAGCTGAGAGATAAGTTGTCAAGGGTAGAAGAGGAACTCGAGACCGAACGGAAGAATAGGGCAGATTTGGAGGCCAGACAAGCTGCCTCGGCAGCTGAACAGGCCAGACAAGCTGCTGCATTAGCCCAACAGACTGCTGCATTAGCCCAACAGGCCGCATTATCAGAGCATTTTGCTGCGTTTATGCGGCAGTCAGGATACATTTTCCCACCTCCCCCAGACCCCGATAGTTCAGTTGTATGTATTCGAAGATTAAATTGTATGAATTGAATATTTTAAATTGTATGAATCCATATTTTAAATCGTATGAATTGGTTACTTTTGTTCACAGATTTGGTTTGTTATATATTATTATTTTCAGGTTTTTTAAAAATAAATACAAGATTTACGTATTTTTAAAAAAATTATTTTTTAATTTTTTACAAATTAGCGACGTATTAGCGAGGGAAAATCCGTCGCTAAAAGTGCTTGAATTTCCCTCGCAAATCCGTTGCTGAAAGTTCCCTCGCAAATCCGTCGCTAAAAGTTCCCTCGCAAATCCGTCGCTAAATACATCCGTCGCTGATCCGTCGCTGAAAGTGTCCGTCGCAAATCCGTCGCTGATTTCCCTCGCAAATCCGTCGCTGAAAGTGTCCGTCGCAAATCCGTCGCTGATTTCCGTCGCTGATCCGTCGCTGATAGCATTACCTACGACTGTTTGACCGACAGAGTATCAGCGACGGATCAGCGACGGAAACCCCTTTCAGCGACGGATCAGCGAGTGAATTTTCCCTCGCTGATACCCAGCATTTTTGTAGTGTATATGGCCAAACTCTGTTGAACAGGCTACTCAAAGAAGTTTCTGTCGGTGATTACTCATAAAATACCAATAGTTTGACAAAGATTTGATGTTTTTCGAGAAAATACCAACATAACACTCAGAGAATACCTGGGTAATTTATGCCAATACTGATGATGAGGGTAGAGTTTAATACCCCAACCTTACTTTCATAATTTAACTGAAAGAAGTATAGGGAGTAGGTACTGTGTATCATGTTCTTATTGAAACTTGAAGTTGAAGGGTTAAATGGTGTTTAACCTTATGATTTATTTGAAAGAAAGAAGATGAGCAAACGGTTGTGGTGATTTTTGGAGATACCAATTTCAGCCTCAATGGCTAAAACTTTGTCATTCTCATTCTTGACGCTAGCCAAACAAGTATAGAGAGGAAAATCTAATGTATAAATAGTGATAGATTTTTTATTTCAATGATTTATATTGCTTATATGTGTTCGGGTAAATAAATCTATAACTCATGATTCTCGTAGGAATAAAAACAGTCCCAAAGTTGTTGTGAGAATTCTTTAGACACACAACATACAACCCGTCTATATCATGTTGTGTGATCCGCTAGGCATGAGAACGGGACGGGAACCTCAATCCCCATCCCTGTCCCTGATTACTTATCTCTATCCCCGTCTCCTTCCCCATCCTCGCCAGGAAATATAATCACATCCCCATCCCCAAAGGGGAAACAATGATTTTTTTCCATTTATGTAAGTTATTTTAAATTAAATATGTGAGAGAGCATATATGTTTAAATCTCAAACATTATCAATAAAACTAAAACCAAAATGAATTTAATTTAATACAAAATAACCACAATGTCATATAAGAATTAATAACTTAAAACTAAAAAAAAAAATTCAATTTAATTCAAAAAAATTCAAGTCACATGTACCAAAAGATATTGAGTAAATATAAAACCATATCGAGTAATATACAAAATTTATCGAGTGATTGTATTTTGACTTAACTTTCAAAATATTATATATTAACATCAAAAAAATAACAATTTTAGATTATAAACCTAGTTAGGAAATAGAAAATTACGAATTACCGTTTTAGTTGAAATAAATAATATATATAACGGGTACGGGGTGGGGTGGGGAATACGGTACCCGTTCCCGTCCCCATCCCCGGTTTAAGACAAATGGGGATCCCCGTCCCCACCCCGATTTAGCGTAGAATCCCCGTTCCGGACCGGGGCAGCTGGACCGGGTTCCCCGACGGTCGGGGCCATTCCCATGCCTATGATCCGCTTAACTAGCGACAAACTTCATGCCAAATCAAACAACTAACGATCCATTGTTAGTTTCTTGTTTGATGATTATTACAGATGCTACTTTAAAGAAGGTTAAATGTGAATATACGATCAATAGATTCTATCATCAATACGCAAACCGTAAACCATGACACGAGTTATAAATATAATCAAACGCTCGGTAAAAAATGTGTTCCATACATTATTAATGAGAATTAACGGCCATATCGAGAAGAATAAAAGTATAAGAGCAACCGCACCAATTAAGAGGGTACACTAATTGCATTCCCAAGAGATAAAGTTCATAAGCTACTTCTAAATGATTTTTCTGAAAAAAATAAGGTCAAACCATAAACAGTTGACCAAAATTATTAACTAAAACACCCTTAATCTCTAAATTTAATATTTTTAACTAAATTTTCTAGCCACTTGTTTCTTGGGTAGGAAGCTTCTCCTCCTGCGCTTGCCTAACTCTTTTTGAAGCCGCCTCCTGCTCCTTGGCTTCATCAACAATCAACGTCTCCAATTTCTCTTTCATTTCTTCCACCTGTTCCATTCAATTACTTCCCATAATCAGATACAATATCTTGTAAATTTTCAATCTTTATACGTTATTGGTGAAATTGTTCGAGAGTTTATGAACCGATAATTGTTGTATTAATTCGACTGCAAAACCGATAGAAAAATGAAAATGATTGAGCATTAGACAAATTACGTTGTCGATGATTTGATTGGCGAGATGAGCAGTTTCGGTTACTCCTTCCACCTTCTCATCAATGGCTTCCAAGGTTTTTCTGAGTTTGTTATCCTCAGGAAGATCGCCCGTAATCTCATCCAGTATCTCATCAGTCCTCTTAGCCACAACTTCAATAGCTTCCATTACATGCTCCGTCGTCTCCATCACTTTTTCGACTTTATCTACAGATTCATATTTTTGCCACTTAAATATCAAATCATATTACGGCGAAGGATCTTACTATGCTTCTGAACATAACTCTGCTTCTCACACGATTCTTTGCCTAACAATAATTGAAACTAATATGTAGCTTAAATCATAAGGTTTTGAGGGTAACTTATTCTTACCTTTTAGTAGAATGAATGGCCCCCATTTATGGGTGAAAAAAGGTAAAATAAATGTTAAAGCCAATCCCAGAACCCAATTTCTCCTGAAAAGATACAAACCAGAAAGGGTTTTAGTTGTCATGGGATACATGATTTTGAGTTCAAGATATATACACAAGACAATAGCATATATGGAACTTATTTTCTGTTTTTGAAGCTTACAAAGAACCAGAAGGTGATCCAGATGGGAGAGGGGGTTCAGGAGGAGTGATATTGTTGGGTACGACGAAGTTCTTCCATCGTTCTGGCATATTGTACTGCATGCTTCTGCTAGTGGAACCATGAAAACTGTGTGATGAAAGATCCATGTTCTTTAAGAATGATGTATTAGAAGTTGGATTAAATGTTTGAGATGTTGAATATACAGATGGGTTTTTGGACATCATGGAAATATCTACAAATCTTGATAAAGGCATCGACATATTTCGTCGTCTTGAAAGATAAAAAAAGGAAACGATATTGAAATTGGGCAGGGTTCGCACGTATTAGATATAAGCAAATTTGCAGGTAATTCAAAAATAAAGATGAAGATCGATCGATGATGAGGGAATTGTTCAAGGTGTGCATACATATATATATATATATATATATATATATATATATATATATATATATACACATATATAGATATGAGGTTCTCTAGAATTACAATTACCGCGTGCAATTTTCCTACGTTCAAACCTTGAAATTTCTACTCACATTCCTTGTTATTTATTCTTGGGTTTAAGCTTTTTTTTCAATTGTTATTCTAGAAGGTTATTAACATCCTTAACTTTGCGTTTCTACATAGAACAGGACAGAACAGGACAAGATATTACGAGACAATATTCATTGAACACGTTTGACGCGACATGATACAAGACAAAAATTTAGTGTTCCACATTTGGTGTGACATGAAACAAGAACATGACAAGGTGGGTTAAAAATAACATTTTCTTGTTCCACCTATAGAAATTAAAATTTACTAATTAACCTTTGATTGATATATAACCTTAATATGATATTTGGTTTAAGGGTCAACACCAGATGCTAGTAGGCAACCTCCACCTCCTCATCCACCAACATTGTCTACTACTACCACCGTCGGCCACCACCATCGGCTACTACTACCACAATCTACCATCCTCACGTCCTCCACAACCATCGTCAGCCACCACTAGTACTGTTTGCCACCACCACCTCCACCATAACCACCTCCACTACATCAGCCACAACTACCCCTCCACCATTGTCAACCGCCACTACCACCATCGGCTACCACCTCCATTACATCAGTCACAACTACCTCCTCCACCATTGTCAACCGCCACTACCACCACCACTATCCACCATCTTCACATCTTTCACAACTACCATCGTCAACCAATCACCAATGACTCTACCTACACAACCATTGTTGTTGCAACAACCAATTAATAAGGATCCTTCAAACCGAATAAACATATTTTCTCCTTTGTACGAAATGATTTTTTTCAAACTACCATAAATTAGATCAACATTTCCATTCAGATTCGGCACTATTATATATGTATGTATTTATGTAGTTGAAAATTGTGTTAAAATGTTTATAAATTAAATTATTTAATAATTTACTTTATTTGTGCTAATTATAAATATTATATGATATACAAAATCATCAAATAACTTTTGGGTACAACTTATCTAGTTTTAGTCATGCTAAACACCAAACAGACAATTGTTCTGTCCAAATTTGTCCAATCATATCTGCATACCAAACGCTATATAAATGTATAAACCATGCAACTTAATTGGCTCGTACTAAGACCATAAAAAATTGGAAATTATATTTAAATAATCAATTTATTTTATTAAAAATGAAAATTAGCAATAACTAAAATATGAATAATTTTGAACCTGAATATGTTTGAGTTGATTTTTTTTTTTGACTTTCATTACTCTTACTACACATTATGAGTAGCATCCATCATCTTCTGCATATATTTTTGGTCTTAAATACTTTGTTTTGCTTTCTTTACATCTATTAAGTCTATGAGTTACAAAATTATTTGTTTCCTCATTAAGATGAAATGAGGATATACCTGTATGGTCAGACGATGAATCAAGATCGGGAAAGCATATTTAAAATTAAAGTATTTTAATTTAATTTGTTTTTAACATAATATTTATTAATTAAAAATTAGCATTTTAATTTTAACGATGTTTTATTAAATAAATTATTTTAAAATTCAAGCGATAGTTGTTTATTGTATTATATGTACACATGTTTAGCGAGGGATCTGTGAGCGTTTATCTTATTTTTTATATTTTCTCATTTTCTATGTATTATATGTACACATGTTTATATGTGTCATATGTATACATGTATATGTGTTATATGTATATATATATATATATATATATATATATATATATGCTTTGGGTGCTAACTACGATGTGTGTTTTATATACACATGTGTATCTGTTATATGTATATATATCTGTCGGTCCGTGTTATATACATATGTATACACAATGTTTATATATGTATGCTGGTTGCTAACCACGATTAGATCCATGTATATATTGTTGAAGATACATCTATCAAATATTGTATATATATGTTTAAATGTATGTGTATATACGAATGTCTAGATAATGTGTGTGTTATATGTATATATACCCGCCGACCCCTGTTATATACATATCTATACACGATGTACATATATTTGGTTTTATTAGACCTTAATGGGGTTTATTGGACCTTAATTCATTTATTGTGTTTTATTCAATTTTATTGGGCCTTAATGAACTTTATTGGACTTTATTCGGTTTTATTGGACTTTATTCAGTTTTACTGGGCTTAATAGGCCTTATTGAGCTTTATTCGGTTTTACTCCATTTTGTTGAGCCTTAATGGACTTTATTCGTTTTTATTGGACCTTAAGTTATTTATTGGGCTTTATTCAATTTTACTAGGCTTTAATGGGATTTTTTGGGTTTTATTTGGTTTTATTGGGGTTTATTCAGTTTTATTAGGCTTAATGGGCCTTATTGGACTTTATTCGGGTTTAATTCATTTTATTGGGCTTAAATATGCTTTATTAAATTTAATGGGCTTTGTTGTTCCACTTGAAATAATCTTCAATCTTTTATTAAGAATCCATGACATAATCTATGTTTAACAATAAGAACACTTTGAGAGAGATGAGAGGAAAAGTCAAAACTCAATCTTGGTCAAACTTTCTATTACGTAATCTGAATATTACAATGAGCTCTCATCTACTAAAATTACAAAGAGTAGCCCTTCATATAGGGTCAAACATGATCCCTATAGTCAAAGTCAAACTTTACAAACAAAGTCAAACACGATGACTTTTACAATTATAGACAATAGTAACATTTCAAGACGAATACAATTTAATACTGATTTTCAGTCCTAACATTCTCCTCATTTGTATTCAGGCTAGAAAAAATTTGCGCTCATTGAATCTTGTTTGATCTTTGTCTCTTAAAGCACTTTATGACTTCTACACAAACACTTCATACGATCGTTTGTTGAGAAAAATATTCTAACATCCTCCTCCTCGAATGTAGAACAACGATGATCTTCTCTTTTGACAATGTAGAACAAAATCAGTAATGATATTCAAATATGATCTTCAATATTTTCTCCAGACAAACAGATTCTAACAATCTCCACAAAAACAAATTTCTTCAGCAAAAATCTCAAACATTCTCTTCCAAAATTGAACGATCTCTTCGATAAGAAAACTTTATCAGTAAACTGTTATAAAGATGATCTTCACATTCCAAAACTCTCAGACATTGTAGCACACGAATAATCTTTGGCAATAATCTCCAGTCACACTTCTTTGAGTCCTTTGCCGATCTATATTGTTACTCCCCCTTGATCTTTACAACATATACCCCTTATATCGTTCGGAATTGGACATTTCATTCATTATTACATACTCCCCCTTATGATGAAATGAGAATCATTACATCATACATCTGAATGAATGAAATCTTCCACGAAAGCCATCAATTCATGAAATTGTAAGCAGATCTTTTCAAATCCACTTGTTTTAATCTTTTCAGATTAAAGGGAATGAGAAGGTAACAGCCAACTTCAACGTATGAAATTGTTTTCAATCTTATAAAAAGATTGGCCTATGAGTATAACAGATATACTCAGTACAATGGATGTACTGCATATATGAGACTTTATGAGGCTCATCTCACCAAGTCTTCCATTCAATCATAGATAGCTTAATAATAATATATATGAATGTTTTGGCAAAATAGCATATAAAATGCAAAATCTGTGTAGTGTAGAAAGATAAAGCAACAAATGCTTCTGTTTAGGCTTAAAATGATAAACCGTGTGGACTACACAAATTTATCAGACTCAATTAGTGATCAAAAAGACTTGAAGGGGGGGGGGACATATATCCTTCTGTTTCAATATCAAATTTCTCTGAATGAGAAACTGATAGATTGTGAGATGCGTGCCCCAAGTGTTATTGAAACACTTATCTGTTAAGAGATAAATGAGTAGCTGGTGGGGTTGTGATAAAATTGGTCTGGACGTTGCCTTTTTCAATAGGGCAAATTGCATGAAAAAGTAAAGTACTTTAACTTGATTCCTATTTTTGGTAACGTACTTTCAAAACTTCCATTTTGGTACCTAAGATGTAAAGTTTTAAATATTTAAGTACCCGGGTAACCCGAAAAGACTAATTTTAGACTAAAAAAAAGACTAATTTTAGATTTTAAAAAATCCACGTCACTGACCACATCAGCAAATAATACCGAGTTGGATACTACATCACTCGCCACATCAGCATGATAATCGGTTAATACTTCAATCAATTACCCGGGCACTTAAATGTTTAAAACTTTACATCTTAGGTACCAAAATGAATGTATTGAAAATACGTTACCCAAAATAGGAATCAAGTTAAAGTACGTTACTTTTTCATGCAATTTGCCCTTTTCAATATTAATCTCCAAAGAATCAAGAACTAATAGATAATGTGGTATTCCCGGAATTTAGAAGTTTGGAACAAGATTCTTGTATTCTTTTAATCCTGACACAACTCTCATCAAATCTTTTAGCTCACAACCACTACCCCTCTCTTTTTCCATTTTAATCTCAGCACACAAACCCTTTTTGATTTAAAGCTCACTCAGATATGGTTGTCCTCTTGGGTAGGTTTGTCAGTTCTGACATTCTATAGATGTATTTCTGTTAAGCACTCAGTCTCTCCTAAAATACTGTAAACTCAGTTGATCACAATGATTGATCAAAATTATTATTGCAAATAAGCACAATGATCAGATAAAATTGATCAAGATATTTGACTTTTAAGCACAATCAATGAAGGAGTGATACGACAACAATCAGATTATTCAGTATGCGAGAGAAATGGATGAAGATATGTAAGAACAAGTTTACAGATTCTGATATTAAAAAAAATTATCAAATGTATATCAATCAAAGTAAAAAAAATATTAGAAAACAACATTTGATTACAAACGAGTGTATTATCACCGAAAATGATATTATATAAGAGAC